AAAAATCTGCAAATTTGTAATGCATTTTCGGGAGAAATCAGTTCTTCTTCTGGAATTAATCAACCGATGCAGCTCTCTTCGCGTTTTCAAACAGATACAAACTCACTTGATTTCTCGTGATCTTCTTCGTGATGAGTTATTCGTCAACAAAGTCGTGACCTTTTTGGGTAAATCTTCAGATTTCGCGTCTTACGGTTGTGTAATTCTTCATAGAATCTGTCGTCATTTGAGCTCTTTTCCGTACAACACGCTCTTATCAAGCTACGCAGTCTGCGATAACCCGAGTGTGACGATTCTTGTTTATCGAACGTTTGTGAGGAACGGGTTTTTACCGGACATGTACACGTTTCCTCCAGTTTTCAAGGCGTGTGGAAAGTTTTCAGGGATCGGAGAAGGGAAACAGATCCATGGAGTTGTCACGAGGATGGGTTTTTGTGATGATGTATATGTGGGAAACTCGCTTGTTCATTTCTATGGTTTGTGTGGAGATTCAGGTGGTGCATGTAAAGCGTTCGATGAAATGCCTGTGAGAGATTTAGTTTCGTGGACTGGTATTATATCTGGTTTTACGAGGATTGGTTGTAATAAGGAAGCTTTGCGTATGTTTTCGAAGATGGATATTGAGCCTAATTTGGCTACTTATGTTTGTGCGTTGGTGGCTAGTGGACGAGTAGGGTGTTTGAGTTTAGGGAAAGGAATCCATGGATTGATCTTGAAGAAGGCATATTTGATTAGCTTAGAGACTGGTAATGCTCTTATAGATATGTATGTGAAATGTGAGCAATTGTGCGATGCGAAGAGAATCTTTGGTGATATGCAAAAGAAAGATAAAGTTTCTTGGAATAGTATGATTAGTGGATTGGTTCAATGTAAGAGGTCTCACGAGGCAATTGAGTTGTTTTCTCTGATGCAAACGTCTTCGGGTATAAAACCGGATGGGCATATACTTACAAGTGTTCTCTCTGCGTGTGCTAACTTAGGAGTTGTGGATTACGGAAGATGGGTTCACGAGTATGTTGTCAATGCTGGAATAAAATGGGATACGCATATTGGAACCGCGATAGTCGATATGTACGCGAAATGTGGCTACATGGAAACAGCTTTGGAGATTTTCAACGGAATCAGAAGCAAAAACGTGTATACTTGGAATGCTCTGTTAACCGGTTTAGCTATCCATGGTCATGGACATGAATCACTTATACGTTTCGAAGAAATGGTTAAGCTCGGTTTCAAGCCTAACGAGGTAACTTTTCTTGCGGTTTTGAACGCTTGTTGCCACACGGGTTTAGTCGATGAAGGTAGAAGATATTTCCATAAAATGAAAACAAGAGAATACAATCTATCTCCTAAGCTAGAACACTATGGATGCTTGATTGATTTGCTTTGTAGAGCTGGATTGTTAGATGAAGCATTGGAGACTGTTAAAACGATGCCGTTTAAACCAGATGTGCTTATATGTGGAGCTATTCTTAGTGCTTGTAAGAGTAGAGAGACATTAATAGAGCTTCCTAAAGAGATATTAGATAGTTTTTTAGATATGGAATTTGAAGATTGTGGTGTTTATGTGTTACTATCAAACATTTTTGCTGCTAATAGAAGATGGGATGATGTTGCTAAGATTAGGAGGTTGATGAAAGTTAAAGGTATCTCGAAAGTTCCAGGAGCAAGTTCTATAGGAGCTTTCTAATTAATTATGTCATAGAACA